GGGGGAGGGAAGACTGCCAATGGGCCTGCTACTGCAGCTAACCAGCGGGAGTTTATTGGCTGGGCCGACTTGATAACACTGTCGAAGTGTAGACGGGGGGAAAGTGATGAGGTGAGTCGAGTTACTATGACATCACCGCTCACCCTATATTACGAGTGATCATTTCAGTAAAATACCGGTCTACCCTTGTTTAGCGGAGCCAATAATGGCTCGTTCAGTTATGAGACGTAGTCACACTTGAGAGTTAGCTGTTGCCAATAAGTGAAGTTTTTACATGAGTCCCATTTGGTAGCAGCCCTCTAACTTGGGTTTTACATTGAGTGCATAGTTATGCCAAATAATGCCACACATGGGCACATTTAAATTCAAGTAACTACAGTTTTCGTTTCCAGTAGTGGTGAGACTATTTTGGAACAATCTCTTGTTTTGTATTAGCTATATTAAAGAATGGGGTGTCTAGCTTGAAATGAAAGACATTTGGTGGTCACACCACGAACGACCAAGATGAGCTCTTTCGATACCCCTCATGGTTGCCGTCGTGTGTCAAAAGGGGGTCCACCGGCCAGATACAGCCTTGCCTATCACTTTTGGACCGAGCCGCCGTGGCAGCCACTAGTCTCCGAACATCCCAAAAGAGGGATCGATGAGGGTGAAAGCGACTTAGGAGCTGATAACCGATGGAGGTGTCGTGATCATACCGCTGACATCGGACCTGAATATCTCGTCTACAGCCCAAGGGGCAGAGATAGCCCGTGTCACCAGCAGAACCTTCTTTCATCTCAAGCGTCGACAAGCCCCACACAACCCGAGGGGGGCAGGAATACCATGGCCGGGACCAACCAGGTAGTGAATGGAAATGATAAATTTCCAAGTGCGAAGTGCTGGGGCTTTTATACCTGTTTTTACGCTGAGGCCTGTATAGGCTGTGCGGGGTACTAGAACCTGCGGTTGGAAAAAAGGCGGGGATGGGGGGAAGGCTTTGAGCACAACCGGTACGCGGTCTCACCCATTGACAGAGGGGAATTTTGCCGAGATACAGCACCAGCCCGCGGCAAGCCAAATTTACGGCACCTTCATCGACAATCCGGGACACACAAGGCACTGGCTGCGGTGGGCTGCCAATAGCGATCTCCGCTCACGTCTCTCGTCTCAAAACCCTCACAACTCGTCGATGTCGTCCAGAACACCTGGGTGGCACCTCCCATTTTTCTCAGGAGCGTCGTAGGTGCGACCGCCTCACGCCATAAAAAATATTGGAGTATTAGGCCAGCCGCTTTCACTCGCTATCAAATGGCATTACACCCTTATTGTCTTTTGCGGTGGCGCAGCGTAATAAGAAAGAACAGTGCAAATTTTACATCAAAGGCATTTAGTCATGCGCCCTAAATTAATGCCGTTGTTGTGGCCTGGCTTGCGAATGGTTTGACCAGTTGCGGCACATGTTGACTCATCTGCCATATTGGTACAAACCCGCATCGCACGAGTTCCTGCGTTAAGTCAATCGCGTCAACAAAATGGGCTTTCGTAGTCGGGCCTGCACACTGCCCCACCGTCGTCTAATCGACAAACTTGGAATGACCTCCCTCTCATCGAGTAATTTTCAACACCACCATCAGTTTTGTCGTTGTTGTCGTTGACGATGAGCGCCTCATTACAGGGTCTTCCCCATTATGTGGGCCGGATTATATTTTCCATGCTTGACGTGCCATCACTCTGTCGCCTTCACATTGCGTTTTCTTCCTACAGTCATGCTGCCGAATTCCTGAATTCCTAGAAAAGTGTGACGTCGAAGTTACAGCAGAGACTCTCGTAACTGGCGACACCACAAAGATCGACTTTGAAACGCTAGCCAAACTTCATGTCTGTGTCGGCATTTCCAGCTACTGGGGTTCCTCCCCAGCTTGAAGACTGTGTTTGTGGAGCCAAGAGTGGCAAACTTGTGGTGGAATCAATAAAGCTTAAACGTTTGAAAATTATCGTCAAAGAGGTCACCATCAACTGTCCTAATCTCGTGGAATTGTCAATAGACTGCAATGATATCGAATACATTAACGCACCAAGATTGGCACGGCTAAAGCATGTCTCGCCCAAGCCCTTCCCCTTTGGAGGCTTTCCGATGCTCATTCAAGTGGAGCTGGAAGGATCCGTGCCTTTCTCAGACCTGAGCTCGGAGCTGGGAAATAATCAGGACACGATAGAAAGGTGGTATCCTCAGAACGTGGTGTTGAAACAGCACTTGAGATCAATTGAAATTTCCAATGTGTTGTTTCAAGAATTGTCGATATCGGCTGATTATGTGAGACTACGCAATTGCATTCTTCGTGCGGGCGCCTGGATCATGGCACGGAAACTCGAAATCAATGTAGCTGCTTTGGTCGTTGGTGATAAAGGTATAAGATGTCAAGAGTTGATTTGCAACGAAATCGACCAAGTTCCTTCCATGGTGGAGGCGGTTTCCCTTGTGTTGAGGCGTCCAAAAAAAGAGAACCTTTACTGGCAAATTCATCATACCAGAACTTCGCCATTATCGGGGACTCAAGTCTTTGACGATCAACCATAGACTCCAATACTACCAGGGCACAATTCCAGTCCCCCCATCAGTGAAACAATTGACAGTTTGTGAAAGTATGTTTCTAAAGCGTGTTTGACACACCCTCTAGGCTTGAACACGTCTAGTGTATCTCTGAAGACTTAAAATAGTACGTAGAGTTCAGTCAAACGCCGGTGTCGGTGGTCCATGGTGAGAACTTGGTATTCGAACTTTTGAGCCACGTTTTCTTGAGTGAGCAAGTATAAGTAGTATAGTTAACAGGGATCGTATTCACTTCTGAATGTGTAGAAGATCGCCACGATCTACGAGCTAAGTTACTTGATAATAACATTTCGATAAAGTGTCCGAAGAGTTTACCCTTCTATGATGTGACCTCCGAATGCTTTAGTAGCGCTTCTGAGCATACGTTGCCAGTATCTGCCTCCTCCAATGAATTTATAGTCACTGACTTTCACCCACGGAATTCCATCCTTTACATCATTACCGTTTCGTCTGGTATCAATAATAGCTTTCAATGATCGGCAAAAGCTTCGATGAAACCAGTAACTAAAAACTAACATGCGTCATCAACATAATCATCTCAGTCTCATAGCACACACAGGTTGTTTACCTCGCATCCGTTTCGATTTGGATTTTGGTTGCCACCACTAGTCCCACGACCGTTCGCGCGCGCTTAATACCATCCATCGCGGTCGTCGTTTGGGGCTGACGCGATTACTACTCCTCGAATACCTACACTTCCACGGCTAATTATTCTTTCATTGGATTCTCCGTATCGCGTTGGTTACCCTTGACATTGGAATACTCGCGATTGAGGCGTGGCCATGAAGTTCTACATCGATGATCTCCCCGTGCTCTTCCCTTACCCCCGGATATATCCCGAGCAGTATGCCTATATGAGCGACATCAAGAAGACCCTCGATGTCGGTGGTAACTGTATCCTAGAAATGCCGTCAGGTACGGGTAAAACGGTGTCGCTTCTTTCGTTAACGGTGGCGTACCAAATGCACTACCCTGAGCACCGCAAAATCGTCTATTGCTCCCGGACCCAGTCAGAAATCGAAAAGGCGCTTATCGAATTGCACAAGTTGATGGAATACCGGACCAAGGAGTTGGGCTACGAGGAAGAGTTCCGCGGGCTCGGTCTCACCCTGAGAAAGAACCTCTGCTTGCACCCCACCATCTCTGCCGAACGGAAAGGTAACGTCGTTGATGAAAAGTGTCGGCGTATCACCAACGGTCAGCTTAAGGAGAAAATCGAACAGGGCAAAGTGACCCCTGAAATGCAAGCAGCAAACCCGGAAGCCTATACGATGTGTGAGTTCCACGAAAACATGAACGATATCGAGTCTCACGACTATATTCCCAACGGGGTATACTCTTTCGATGCATTGATCAACTATTGCAAGGACCGAGTCACTTGTCCCTACTTCACGGTGCGGCGGATGATTTCTTACTGTAACGTGATCATTTACTCCTATCACTATTTGTTGGACCCAAAGATCGCTGAGCGGGTGTCTAAGGAGCTTTCTAAGGACAGTATTATCATTTTTGACGAAGCCCACAATATCGATAACGTGTGTATCGAGGCGTTGCTGTTGGATCTTACCGACGACACGCTTAAGCGAGCCACTCGCGGGGCGAACCGACTCAGCGACGAGGTGGAAACGCTTCGAGCCCAGGATTCGGAGAAGTTGAAGAATGAGTACGATAAGCTTGTGGAGGGGTTGCGACAGGCTGACCTTGAAAAGCAGGAAGAAACGTTCATGGCAAACCCCATTTTGCCCGATGATTTGCTTGAAGACGCTGTCCCTGGTAACATCCGTAAAGCTGAACACTTTGTTTCGTTCCTTAAACGGTTTATCGAGTACCTTAAGACGCGGATGAAGGTGCTTCACGTCATCTCGGAAACGCCACTCAGTTTTCTTCAGCACTTAAAGGAACTTACATTCATCGATAAAAAACCGCTTCGATTCTGTTCGGAACGATTATCGCTTTTGGTGAGAACCTTGGAGCTTAACGAGATCGAAGATTTCAATGCGCTTAAGGACGTTGCCACATTTGCCACGTTGGTGTCCACCTACGAACAAGGGTTTCAACTCATTCTTGAGCCGTTTGAAGCTGAAGGGTCTTCGGTGCCGAACCCTATTCTTCACTTTAGTTGTTTGGATGCTTCGATTGCCATCAAGCCCGTGTTCGATAAGTTTTCCTCGGTGATCATTACTTCAGGGACCATCTCTCCTTTGGATATGTACCCGAAGATGCTTAATTTCGACACTGTGATCCAAGAGTCGTACGCCATGACCCTCGCACGGCGGTCGTTCCTTCCTATGATTGTAACTAAGGGTTCGGATCAGGTTTCAATTTCATCTCGATTTGAAATCAGAAATGACCCCTCGGTGGTGCGTAACTATGGCTCGTTGCTTATTGAGTTCTCTAAAATCACCCCTGACGGGATGGTGGTGTTTTTTCCGTCGTATTTGTACATGGAGCTGATTATTTCTATGTGGCAGACGATGGGGGTGTTGGACGAAGTGTGGAAGAACAAGCTTATCCTTGTGGAAACGCCTGATGCTCAGGAGACATCGGTGGCGCTTGACACTTACCGCAAGGCTTGTTGCAATGGTAGAGGAGCGGTGCTTCTTTCAGTGGCTCGTGGTAAGGTGTCGGAAGGGATCGATTTTGACCATCACTATGGGCGTACCGTACTCATGATTGGTATCCCCTTCCAATACACCGAGCTGAGAATCCTTAAGGCACGTCTTGAGTTCATGCGTGACCACTACCAGATCCGCGAGAACGACTACCTTTCCTTCGACGCCATGAGACATGCTGCCCAGTGTTTAGGGAGAGTCTTGCGTGGTAAAGACGACTACGGGATCATGGTGTTGGCTGACCGGCGGTTTGCACGTAAGAAAAACCAGTTACCCAAATGGATTGCTCAGGCGTTGAACGACGGTGATACCAATCTTCTGACGGACGTGGCTCTTGCTACAGCAAAGAAGTTTTTGCGGACGTTGGCTCAGCCCGTGAATCCAAAGGATCAAGAGGGCGTGCTGGTGTGGAACCACCAGCAATTGTTGGAGTACCAGAAGTTCCACGAAAAGAAACCCGTAGCTGCTGATGGAGACGACGCCATGGACGTCGACGAAGCTGATATGGCCTTGTTATAATGATATAATGACATAAACATAATTCATCGAATAAAACCCACTTACACGCTGGCAAGTAAACAAAAACGAATGTACGTTTTAGGCCAATTGTGTGGCAAGACTTCACACTCCCCTCTTCATTCAATTGACCATACAAGCTCAAGTTATTCATACATTAAGTGTGCTCGAGAGGAAGCTGAAGAATTGAAAGATATTAATGAGTCAGTTGTGGCTGACATCGCCGTCCACGGAATCTCAAGTTGACCAAGACATTATGGAATGGTATTGACTCGTGATCATCATCAATAGAAGTCAGTAAGACCATAAATGGTTTAGGATTTTTCGTCCAATAGATAGCTGAGTTGTTGTCTGAACATAGCAAACATAGACAAAATATTGATCTCTGCTAGCGAAACAACGTCATCTAAGTCACCATCCTCCGCGTCTTGTAATAGCGCAACCTTCTTCCTGAGTTTATTGCTGACATAAACATTGTCATCTATAGCATCTGTATCCGAGCACATCCTCATCAACTGCTTGTAGAGAAACTCCGTGTCGCGACGTCCGTATCTTTTGAATAGTTTTCTGATGTGCATTTCAGTTTTATCCAACTTCTTACGGCTGCGGAAAGTTGATCTTCCAATCTTGTAATACGTCTCCTTCCGCTGTTGTAAATGCTCGTCGTATTCGTTGAGATGTTTCTCCAAAGCGATAACCTGGTCGTAGATCATTTCGCTTTGTGGTCGAGTAATCATATATTGAGCAGGAATAGCCCTCTTGAGACAGTACCAGCACACATTATACTCTTTGGCATTGTCTTCATATCCAATTAGAAGATCCTTATACGCAGTAAACCAAGCAGCCCATTCAGGGGCGTTGCCTGTAGTCCGTTGCGGCTTGCTTTCATTAATTGTATCCCAAATGGCTATCCTTAGCTCCACTTCTCTCTCAGACACGCAACCAGACTTCACTGCATTTACAAAAGCCGCACCCCACTTATGTCGTTCTTTGTAATCGGTACGAGGCCGCCGGTGATGTTTTAACTGCTCCCCTTCCGGCGTAATAGGTGTCGTTCGTGTTTCATCCTTGAAGGTATCGGGGGGAACTTCAATGTTGAGTTGTTGCAAAAGCAGCACCAAGTTATTTTGCGTCGTCACTATATCACTTTTGAGTGCACCAACTTTGTCGAATAGCGGATCAAACTTGATAGTGAGAGTATCGACACTTTCGTTCGATTTAGCAACAGTTTCACCGACCGTTCTCACTTTTGTGATGACTCCATCAACTTTGCCATCACATTCTTCTTTAACCACTTTGATTGAATTGATATCGCCACTAACTGTAGTGTAGTCGTTATCTAATTTGGTTGTAATCAGTTCGAGAGCATTGACGGTGATACCAGCTGACTCGACAATTTCTTTCAACTTTGCCACGTCATCTTCAAGTTTGCTGATCAAGGAACCGTCACTAATTTCGTCAGGGTTGGATCGCCTTGGTTCATGGATAGAGACGTTATCCGCTGCCACTCCCGAAACATTGGATGTGGCGGGGGCCATAATGGAAGACATACTGAATGTAGCTCACCCAGTAGTTGTAATACCAACCAAAGCTTGGGATAAGCAATTTGCTGAAGGATCACCAGATGTAGGGATATAATTGGTATCTAGCAATAAGGCCTGTACAAGCATGCGACCCCACAAAGATCAATAACACACTGATTGCAGCGCTACCATGACTCTGCCCAATAGCACAAGGACAATTTTCCCGATACCATTGGTACTTTCAGTGAATGGTGAACGTTGTTCCTATTAATTTGACGGTTGAATTAATTTCGATGTGCCTCTTCTAATTGTATTAGATTAATTATGTATTAGCCGCGCTATCACTGATGGAGCGATGCTGGAGCCCCCTCTGCTGGTGCTTGAGGTAGTGCTCGACATCGGCCAGCGACGGATCATTGCGGGGTTTGCCGGTGATCTGTACCCGCTTACGGTCCCCTACCGACCACAGTTATTAGCGAGAGTGGCCGATTCCTCACTGGGCCTAGCATTACTTGGTCTTGATGATGCCGCCTTAACCTGCGACGAACGGGCGCAAATCGTCGACAACTTGCTTCCAGAAAATCAACAGATACTCAAGAAGTACCAACTGGACGTGGGAGTCCATTGGCTTGCTGAAAATGACCGAGAACAATTGCTCCAGTGGCTCACCCAAGTGTTTTGTTATGAGGTCATGGTGACGCCTCGCCATTGTCGAGTGATCTTACTTGATTCAGGGTTTTCCATGCCAATGAAGACGATGATTGTTTCTATATTGCTCAATTCCATTGGCGTCAAAGCTGTGGAGTGGCTTCCCTCTCCAGTAATGACAGCAGTGGCTCTGGGAGTGACGGAGGCGATTGTGTTGAACTTTGGCTGGCACCACGTGTCTTTGACAGTGGTAAGTGACTTGAGAGACGTGACGCCGCTATTGATAAATAGAGGTGAGGCCCGGATTTCTCCTAGTTTGACTCGACTTGCACTTCACTACCATGTGTGGCAATCTCACCCAGATGAATCCTTTGACGCTATTGAACGCATGATAACAGCTGGTGAGGTAGACAATACATGGGATTTTAGCTCGGTCAGTGATATTATAACGCAGACGGTGGCTAAGCTTGCCATCGATACTCGACCACAAGTGTTGGCCAATGTGATGGTAATGGGGGAGATGGTCGAAGTGCCCGGGTTTGTGGCTGCTCTTTCTGATTATATCACACCTAGGGTTCCAGGATTGACTCCTCGAGGAACATTGGGGCTGTGGCGTGGGGCATCACTTTACGTGTCTAACGTGCTCTCTCGGTACCCGCGACCAATGGCGATTACCAAGGAAACTTATGCTCGTTGGGCTGCCACTGGCTAATGATGCTGTTCACTTTTATCTCCAGTTGCCATATATATGGCCTACTTCAACTTCCCGAATTATGGAATCCATAGCGATGATGAAATACCATGGGGCAATCAGGCGATAGAGATTCAAGAGACCACTTTTGAATGCTACATAACTCACTTCCTGATGTATCCACTTGACCTAACAGCTCAACTGACGCTTGCTCCCGCTGATACTCTGGCTATCCACTGTGTGTTGAGAGAATTCCACCGAATACCAAACAGTTTTGGAAGCACTTGCAGACGCTGATGTTCGTCAGTTTGTTGCTGAAATTATGCTTGACGTCGAGAAACTTTGTCAGGAGAAGAGAAAATACTTGTCTGACAAGTGGTCGGCTCCATTTGCTTACATGCTCGAATTAGGAGGGTTCTCGGGGCAGATTCCTGGGTGTAACTTCGACGAGATCACCCATATGGACAAATTGATAGTGACGATGCTGAATGCATTTGAGGAGTCGAACCATGAGGTATTCTGCAAAGTTGACTTCATGACGGCGTTTTCAGACCCTGTCGAATTTTTGAGACGGTACAATGAGGCTGAGGAGGAGCTTCGAGTGATGGAAAGGGCAGTATTGAGCGGACTCAGAGATGTTCTTATTGGCATCAAAAGAACTGCACCGGAGATATACCACATGTTCGTTGATGGAGTCGACGCCATGAGAAACCACGTCCTTAATGATATTGACATTGAAGTGTCACAATTGATTGACGACAGAGTGAACAACACTCACCTTCCTTTGCATTCAATCACCGAGGCCATGGTAGCTGTTCTGGAAGCAGATATTAATTCCATTCTCACCAAAGTGTTATCACAATGCTACTGATCTAGCATATTTAGGCATTGTATTAATCTTAAAAAACTTCGCCTATTTGCTCTATAGTGTAAACAGAAGCCGACGACCTCGACGCACATTATTGTACCTGAAACATCAATCACGTTGGTGATGGATGCCAAGCAAATCCAAATCCCAAATACGAATAAATAAATAGCAGGGCCTCGTTGTCGAATTCATCAGACCCTCACAACTTTCCCTCACAACTTTTGCTCTCTTCGAAACTTCCCTGATTACTTCAAGTGTTCTTGCTTCATCATCGACCCGACGTAGTCCTGGAGGTGCTGGTTCTCCCGGTGGTGCTTAGCGCACTGGCCTTGCACCTCTCTGATGTTGGTCAAAAGCGTGGCGATGTGGCCCTTGAGCAACACGATCTCGTCGATCTTCGCCTCCTTCAGCATGGTTGGAGCAGTGCACCGTAGTGCGCCTCGGCGCGATTGCTCTTAGGCATTGCCGACAAGGGGCGCCATTCGCCACCACCGTTGCCGAGGCATCTACGAAAACTACCTCGAAACTACCTCACCAACTAACATTTTACATTAAATCGCGAATTGCACACTAGTGTCTGTCAAAATCCCGCTTGCCTTTGTGGCTATTTTTACCCCAGGGCTGGGTCCGGGACGTGACCGGGAATGGTCACTCTGAGGACGTGCGAGCCCCGCGCCGCGAACTAGACAACTTCACCACACGTCACTAACCGCTCCGGCAATTGGCAGGCCACGCTCACAGGTTAACCACTCAATATGTCTTGGAACGGGTTCAAAAAGGCAGTGCACCGTGCCGGCGCTGGCGTGCTGGTGAAGGCGCAGGACAAGACGGTGGACAAGTCGTTCGACATCGACGACCGCCGCTACCAGGCGTTGCGCAAAGCGGGCACGTCCCTCCAGAAGGCGCTGAAGAACTACTTGGACGGCATCCGTGCGGTGACGGTGGCCCAGGTGGCGATTGCCGACATCGTGTCCCAGCTGTCGACGCTGATCTCCCACGCGGGGCAAGTGTACTTGGACACGATGCGCAACTTCGACCTGGACCGTGACGCCCAGATCGATACCCCGTTCCGGGAGACGGTGTTGGACCCCGTGACCAACTTCACCAACTACTTCACTGAAGCCGACGCCGCTATCAAGAAGCGTAACCACAAAAAGACCGACTACGAGATGTGTAAGGCTAAAGTGCGCAAGTTGATCGACAAACCGCCTAAAGATGCTGGCAAATTGCCCGCTGCCGAAAAGGAATTAGCATTGGCCAAAACTATTTACGAAGAGTTGAACGAACAATTGAAGACAGAGTTGCCCATATTGATCTCGTTGCGGGTACCCTACTTCGACCCTCTGTTTGAGGCGTGTATCAAAGTACACAAGCGGTTCTGTACGGAGCTGTACGCCCGGTTGGCCCAGATCCAACAGTACTTGCCGCCAGAGACTCGTGACCAGTACGCTAATGGCGAGTTGGACACCCAGATCGACGACATGATTGTCCACATGAACTCGTTGAATATTGCCACGCTTGGGCGATGATAGGCCGTCTAAAATAACTACCACAGTTAACTACGTTCCAATGTATAAACATACTAAGTCAACACAATCAATACGATCTTTAATTCGTCATCGTACGATAAAATTATGTTTTTGAAGTTCCCTAGGTTTACCAAGTCAATTTTATATAATCGTATTTAATCATAAACAAGTTGACTTATTGTTTGATCGGCAAGAAATGTAGGTCCGATTCATTCGCATCGAGTGTCGTATGTGAGTAATTTACGTGAACTGGCATCGTACTAGTTGTACCATAGTGAGGGAGTGAAAATGAGGTAACTACCCAAAAGGGAATCAAAATCTGGATCTCTGTCGACTTCCGTACACGTCCAAACTACTAAAAGCGAGGATATTCGCGTCTTTTGATAGCTTTGTCGATGTGTGACTAGCTCCGCCGGCATTGTCACTTGACAATTTCCATTGACGGCCTCGGCCCGGTCGTCCATGGCTCGTGGCCGTAAAAGCCTAAGTGTACCGCGACGGACTCGCCTGCACCCACACGAACCCTTACTCTCCCCGGGCCCGCGGTTTCCGACGCCGGCAGTGAACTCCCGCAACCACCACCCCCGGAACCAACGGATCCCCCACTGGCGCCACCAAACGTCGACGAAAAATTCTGAAAATAATACCAGAAATACCAGAAAATTCTGCTGATTCCAACTACACTACTCTCATAGCCTATACTGCCTTTTTCACCTCCCATACCCATAACCTCACCTTATCCCCACCGCGGTCTCACGGTGTTTTTTTCGCGAAGCGACCACCTCGAGCGAGCCCTCGAAATACCATCTCTGCCGCCCAGAGGTCTACCCCATACACCCTCCCCGCTTTGCTGTGCCCTTTCTCCACCCTGGACACACACTCTTGACCCGTGATGCTGACCCCGGTGCCTGTGCGTGCCTGGAGCCAGGGGTGGGCCGTGCGCTGGATCAACACTGTGGTAAGGTGGCCTCGCGCCGTCACCTTGGTGCCGGTGGTAATCGTGTTTTTATTGGCCTACCCGGTGATCTACCAGCACTTGATCAAGGAGGTGAACCTGCTGCTTGCCCGGCGCTTCGGCGGGTGCTCACCAACCCCAATCGAGGCGCTAGCGCCGGTATGTGCCCGCGACACCACCACGGACACCCTCTACCACCTCCAGTACAAGGCTGCCAATGTGCTCACCCTGCTGCTACTAGACCACGTCGACAATTTAACGCTACGCCCCCCGTCTGAGTGGGGGGCTGCCGCCATCGTGCTGCCAGTGCTCGGTACCTCCCACCAACTCAAACTGGCGTCGCTGGTGCTCAAACACATCAACTACAACTTGCTGCCGCTGCTAGTGGCGATGTTCTTCGATAACGTCAACCTCACCAACTATATGGTCACTGCTGCCCGCACCTTGAACGTGTTTGTCCTCAGCAGCAACGCCAACCTCAACGAAACCATTGCTAGTCTACCCGGCCCGGTGCTGCTAGTGGGCCTGACCACTTCCTCCACTGATATCGCCAAGTTTGTTGGCTTTTACTGTTCGCAGATGGGCTACCCTACGTGGTACAACCTCGCGGTGCGGGCCCTCACCTGGCTTGTTCGCGTGCTGCTTGTCGGCTACTACCTCTACATCTACCTTTCGCTTGCCAACCAGCACCACGTCCACCTGATTGTGTCGGTTATGGTATGCTGGGTGGCGCAAACGGTGCTTGCGGCGACGCTGGCCATCACCCTAGAGGTGCTTTTGCGCCGCGAGCCGGGGTGGCAACACATATTCTCCCCACTGATCCGGTTTTCACACACCGCCTATGCATTGATGGTGACGGTGATGCTGCTGCGATCGTTCTTCGCCGCTATCGACCTGGTGGTGCTGAGCCAGGGGATGCCTCTTCACCGGCGCCTTTACCGCTACTACACGCTGGCAACTCCCATGATAACCACCGCCAGACAGTTACTCCAAATTGCCGGTATTTATGGGCTTGGCCGCTTACTCCTTGCTGGCTACATCTCCCCCGAGTACTACCCGTACACCACCGCGCGCTTTGAACGCGTCGCCGAGGCCCTCATGCTCGCCATCATCATCAACTATGGACTTCTGGTGACGTTCATGATTGGCGTGCTTGTGGTCGACTCGTGGAAGGCGCAGCTGCTGCAACAGGAAGCTGAGCTCAATCGCTCCTACATCGCCGACGATATCGACGATGATGACGATACAACCACCAATGGACCGCAACGTGAAGACATCATGGACCTGACCAACGTCGTCCTGTGCTTCTTCCTCACCCGCAACCCGAGGTTGCTGCAGTGGCTTTTGAAGATTGGCTACACCGACGACGAGCTTGTAAAACTGGCTGTGGTGGCGGTGGTATTCAAAGTGATCTTCTTGACGTGGCTCGTGTACATCCGCGTCCCCTTAGCCAATGTGGGGCCGGCCACCGTCACCGTACTGCGTCGCACCATCTTGTATTACCTTGAATTGGCGCTGGTGCTTACACTTATGGTGGCGCTCCTGTTAATTATGTTCAGACTCGTACTCCCTGAGACTGACCCCGACATTCCGTTGCTTACTCCAGCCGATTTTGCCCCCGAAAAGAAGCGGTTCAACCTGATCGAGCTCCGCCAGCCCGCCCACACGTTGGACATCATCCAGCTCAAAACCAATCTGCATACGCTGTTTGTGGTGTCGGTGGGGCTCGACCATCGCATCTTCATCTGGCTGCCGCTAGCGGCTAACACCGACCCCGTCAACATCGCCACCACCATCGGCGCCCCGCTCACGGGAGACCTGGCGTCGCAACTGCCCCAGCTCATTGTCGAAGGCGACGAGCTGCTGCTGCTGCTGCTGCCACTGCTGCCGCTGGCGGTGTTTGACCCCACCGTGCCGCCCAAACTGACGCCGTTCTGGCCCATCAATCATGTCAATATCAGTGACGATGGCAATTACATTGTCCTCATTAACTACCGCTATGGCCTCATCAAGTGCTACGAGCGCAAACAGCTTGCCTACATTTGGGAGATTCCGTTGCCTCAAGGGATTTGCCGCCAGGGTAAAGTCCGCATCGTCGAGCTGTTCTTCCGCCGCAAAACGGTCCCCGGGTTCCTTGCACGCAAGATTCTACAGAAGAAGAAGCTGATGCGCCAGGCTCAGGGAGCACTGGGTTCGCTGCTGCTGGCGCTGCTGCGGCGAGGGCTGGCGGTGCTGTTGACCTCGTTGAACCTGGCGATCAACGGCAACTTCCCCGTCACTGCTGACGACGACTTGCGCGAGCTTCAGAAGGATGAGTTCATTATCGTTTTCGATACTGGTCAGCTTGTTGTCATCCTGTGTCTGGAAGGGCTGATGAAGCAGCTGAACATCTTGCTGCTGGTGTTTGCCGACGACGACCAAAGCGACCTCAAAATCGTGTCTGCTAAGAAGATGATGACTCCTAGAGTTACTGACCGCATTGTCTGCCAAGTGAGCTCGATGCCCGACCTTATTGTGGCCACGGTGGTCAACAACAACTGGAAGTTCCGCCGCGTTCCCGTCCGAGGAGGCCACTACAACCAAGCCTTAATCACCACGGGGTACATGCTGCCGATGACGCCGCTGCCACTGGTGCTGGCGGTGAACAAGAACGACTTCACTGCCATTGCTCGACTGGAACTGGCATCGTCTACTCTCCCGAGTAAGCGTTTGGGGTCGCTGACCCCATTGGTGGTGCGAGACCTGGCGGTACAGATTAATCGCCCCACCATCGTCACCGTCGAGTTTGTTGGTATGATTGTGCGAGTGAAAAACATGACGGCCGAGATCATCGATGTCCAGACGGGGATCATCCTTAAGACGTTTAACGTTGGTAGATTCAAGCCTCTGCTGTTCCGTGTCGCCCACTCCGAGCCTACGCACTGTAAGTTCTGTGGGTGCGCCCTGATCCAGCTGTTTTCAATTGTCTATGAGGACCACGACACTCCCATGATCATCTTGCACACGTTTACCATCGACATTCCCCGGCTGAAGAACTACATCTGTTTGCGGGTGGAGCGTGACCCGCGTGAGATCCGGTGCATCGGTTTTAACGCCGTCACTGAGCACCAGTACTGGTTTGACGATGTTGTGGGTTGGGAGCTCACCGACGTCAACATGATCATCGGTTTCCGTAAGCTGAAGCCCACTCTGCCGGCCACTAATACGTCTAAGACTTCCGGGAAGGCTCTGGCGTTTGAGCGGCTCATCCACGACACTAGTCTCCAGCTGTTGCGCCACCGTCGCCAACCCGCTACTAGTGCTTCCACCACTGAAGCTGACGCCCAGGGGTGCACGTGGGAAGGTTTCATCATCACTGCCCTGGATGGCAACTTGATCAACTACGACATCCCGCCAGACACGGCGCTAGCGCTGACGCGGGCCCCGGACATCTGCTGCATTAGCAAATACGGGTACAAGTCGGTGATCGTCAACGTCGGCGCCGGGCTCCAGATCTTGTATTTGGGTAACGACAAGCTTGTCGAGGACGACATCTACTACCTGGGTAACCAGGCGGATGTGTGGCTGATCTTGGAGGACCAAGCGCTGAAGGGTCCCGCCCAGTCGCTGCCGCTCTACGCCCGCCCCCGCCCCAATCAAACCATCAACTCTGAGCTTTTGTTCATCAACAAGCGCGCCCGTAATCGCGATAAGCACCGCGCGCTTGCTTAACTGTATAAAGATAGCATTAATAGAGCATTTCAAGATTCTAGTATCGACATTAATCGTAAACGAAGCAGATCACCGTTTTTGTTCATGAAAGATCTGCTTCACCTGCAAAATAAAGTAATCTTTCTGCTTCGACTCTGAACTGTTGCTAGGGTCGAATTTGTTGGTGAGATTTCGACGGATATACCTCTATGTGCTAATCGTTTTGTGATAGATTTTCGCAACCAGTGCGAGGGCGCGCTAAGTTTACTGCTTGCTAAACAAGGAAAGAATAGGACTACGCGGGCTTTGATAGCGGCAGCGTGATGGGTCCAAGGTTCACCCATTGAAACTGAATGAAGACGAGTTGACACAATGTTGACATCTGAATTATCTATTTTTGCATGAGTGATTTGAAACCTGAGCATATATTGACTATAGCTCTTTGTTGTTGGCATTTTGAGGACTAAGTGTCTCAATCATCGAGGCGTTCATGTTTACATAACCTGCGAATGACATTATTCGGGTTGACTATTCATTTCATCATGAATAAACCCCCCAAAGTTATCTTATGGTGGAACATGAATTATACATTAGCTGAAGGTTACTCAATTGAGCTGTCCACATTCGTTAAGTGCTCTTGGTGACGTTTTCGATGGTGAGGATCGACCCTGCAACCCGATCTGGGCCGGGTTTGTTGTCCGGGTCTTGCTCGATTGTGGTAGTGGTGGCCGGAATCTGTTAACGTCAGAGTGCTGGAATTTCTCTGCAATGACCTCGAACTTGGTTAATTAACGGCATAAACACATGCGGGGAACCACTCTGAGACTGAATTCTAGATACAGTGAATCGATTGCAAGCGTTCCATCAGGAAGCTGGGTCAACTCCTATATCCACTTCGACTTTCCTTCCGCAATCGCCTTGAGTACTCGAATATACTTTTACCTTTGAGCGTACACGACTATCCCTACAAGTCATCGGCATACTTCTTTTCGTTTTTTAACATTCTGCCATCATGGGTAAGGCGATTGGCATCGACTTGGTGTAATTGCATCGTTTTGGAAACTAATAACTAAGGTGTTACCAATCACGACGCTGTGGTAGGCTAGCTTTTGGACACATTTTCATGGAGATCTAAAACTTCGACCAAGGAGGCCATTTTGAAGTCTGGCTCGAACAAATCGTTGACAAAAATGGATACGGCAGGGTCAAGGTTACCTTAGCGGCAGACAATGGATCTTACCAGGGTTTATAACGGCAGTTTGAACGGACCTTAAACGCGTCATTAGTACGGCGTTAACAATGGGGTAAAACCTGCGATGTCATCTAAGCAATCACATAATTTGATAGTGTCACACGTTATCAACGGGGCACGGCTGAGGCACCACTATCGGCATGGTTTGGGCCCATTTGGGTTATCTCGGTGTCGGCTGGTATACACGTCGTTTGCGCACAAAAGCCCCCGACACTTTACACTCCGACACCGACAATGCCATCGGGCACTTCGACGAGAATAACGATCGTATCGGGATGACCGTATTCGTGAGGCAGTTTCAGTGAGGTTGGTTGATTTTTCATATTCAAGGTAGGGCGACATGACTTGTGGTTGCATTAAGACGGTTCGTAGTATAATCAGGCTATTAGGAAAGGGGGGTAAGGTGAAAATTGTCGGCAGCAGCACTTGGTTTTAGTGTTGGGTATTACTGATAGAACGGAGATAATTCGGCAGTGTGCCGTTTTGGGAATTGATGGGTGTCGTTCGCTAACTTAATCAGACTAATGTCCTTTGGGATCAACGATCACAAACGGCTTTACTATATCGGTCCGGAATATCGCTCAATCTTTGGAAATCAAACGAAACCCTATTGAGTTTGATAGTTCGAGAGCAAATCAGTGCCATTTTGTCTACTACTAGTGGTTTTAGTCCCGCTGTTTCTGCAGTTATTTCGCATCTTTTACGAAATTCTTGAGCATAATGCATTACACCCTCCTACCCCAGATTTTACAAATGAACTTTAAATTCAGACACCTTTGGGGGTAGCTGAATCACCAAAGCCATCAATTATACCGAATTTGTATCGAAAAGTATTCCAACATTGTTTTCAATTGACATCTAGGTAGTTGCGAGAGCAAAGACTTCAAGCCTTCGAAACTACCTGAAAATGAACCCAAATCACGAATAGAGATTTACGTAGCAAAGTGAGATTATTATTGAGCAGATTTCTCGGCCTGATTGTCAAATTTGACGCCAATTGATGGTTAGCAAACGTACTCTACAGTTTCTTATGTGATAGCAACCGGTGTCACCACACTCCAAATTCGTCAGGAGCCAAGGACAATCACGATGGCAGATTAAAAGCAACCATATCTTCTATAGAGATAAAAAAATTTGGTGATTGGACCCGTCATGGCACCGATGGTTCTCGAAGCCCCTAATGTGGCGCGTGCATATTCGATATTCAAACCCCGCGGGAGCGAATTCTGTGGCGAAGAGCCATGGAGACTTCTCAAATTTGATCCGACATCGTCCGGAAATAAAAAAGGGTCAAAGTCTAATTTCACCGGTATCAGTGCGAGATATACCTAACCAATTGCAAATGTATTGCTTGATTGACGATGTCACTAAGCAATTTCCACGAGGCAATTTCTTGATTGAGCCATCACGATAACCTCTCGGATATGGTGGGGTGTGTGGCTGACGTCACCAAACGTAAAATCGGACCACACGCGAGATTTTCCACTCCGTGTTTACCCGCGTCAATTCCTGTTCATGGGGTTTGAGTTGGGGGTAACTACAGAGACAGGCAGAGTGCTTATTGACGCTTTCGGCGGACGTCGGAGGCGATGGAAATCCACTCTAATTAGGGTTCCCGCGAGATATTCAATAGTGGCGCGGGACCGTAAACAGCAAGTAATTAGCGCTGGAAAACGTTACGGTTGCCGCGATGACACCCAGTGGCCTTATGTCACCGACACCACGTTGGCTCAGTTGCTAGAGGTAGTAGAGGTAGTGGCGACGATGCCAGGACGGCTAAAGTTGGGTTGGTGTCGATTGGCGGCAAATTCTAGGGCGTGCTGCCGGGATTTGTCTCTGAATATGACCTGACTATGAGTCGTTCATCTGCCGAGACCGTTGAGCGCCGCGCATTTCTTTTTTCGCTCGCAGTCAAACCCCGGGATGCGGATGAGGGCCACCACCGCGTATATATAAGCACCACCACCACCACCCACTACTGGTCCCATCCACCAATTACCACACAAACATGAAGATCCTTACCAAGGAAGAAGTCGAAGAACACAAGAACCACGTGCTCAAGGAAAACCTCAAGGGGCTCGCCGTCGGCGCCGGTGTCGGCGGGTTGATGATTGCCGGTATCCGCAAGAAGTGGCCCGCGCAATGGAAGTCGCTCAACACCTCGTTCAAGGCGGCGATCTTCGCCATGCCCTGTATCACCATCGCTGCGTTCTACGCCGATGACGGGTCGCTTGAATTCGACAAGGAGAAGTACCAGGGTGACTACCTTAAGAAGGTCAAGGAAGCCAAGGAAGAGCGCTACAACGGGTTGACGTCGACGGAAAAGCTCATCCACCAGGTGAACGAGTACAAGTACCCGTTGATCATTGGTGCGTGGGGGGCGTCGTTGTTTGGCTGCTGGAAGCTCGTCGACCGCGACAGATACATGCTGAAGGCGCAGAAGATTGTCCAGGCGAGAGTGTACGCCCAGGCGATCTCGGTGGTGTTGTTGTTGGGGACGATTTTGTTGCTGTACCGCGACAACGAGATCAAGAAGAAGCAGCCGGCGCCCATCCCCGAGTGGAAGCAGATCTTGCAAGAGCAGGAGGAAAAGAAGAAGCAAGCTGCAGCCGCCGCTGCTGCTCTGCAACAACAGCCCACTCAGCCTTAATGACCTTTGGTACGACAACGCCTTTTTACGTTTTGCATTCTCCCACGATTTGTATATGAAGTTTTTATGATAGATATGGCATAATTACACATTGAAAAGAAAGCCCGATAGTAAACAATCCTAGACTTTGTAGGATAATATTCAATATAGAGTTAAAGTATTAATGTTCTCAAAAAAAAGAGAAACAGCATATGTTTGATTGAGTCTTGTGTTCTATCTTGATATACTTTTAGAATATGACTGTTACTGTTCTACTCATTTTACTAAATTCGATGAGTTCTCACACAATACGGATTACCGTTTATAGGTGGACCAATTCTGCGATGGCGGGCGTCCTTTGTGGAAAATATACTTTATAGGCGAGATTTGGTCTTCGCCTGTTTACTTTAGATGGTGTCTGGTGTCGGGGCCAGTATAATGGCACGCGAGCGCGATAGCTGTGCCTCGCCCGCAAGGAGGGACGACAGACACCCTCGGCATTATCGGTACATTGACTACCTAGAGTAGAGAAGGGGAGATGGCGGGGCCGGTGGACCAGTTTCTTTGTCGCCAATGCTGGTTGTTGGGGGCGTGGAAATTGCCGTTTGGGGAGAGCCAATCGTCAGCGCTGATTAATCGCCGCCGGCGATTGGCTTAGGTGCGTTTACTTCAATTAAGCACACCTGCGCACAGCCACAATGTCGAGTCCCCCACTGTTGACAATTGGTGAAACAGCATAACCTTTACGGAATTATCCAATTGGACGGTGGTGTCGGGTCGCCAGCGGTATGTGCGGACACAGCCCACGCTGTAGCCACCCACCGCATAGCCGAGACTGCCACCGGCGACGCCAAGGGCGGCCGTGGTAAATTTTCTAGGGGTTAGGCTTTTCCCAGGTAGCAATCGTTTCACAATATACTAACCCGCAACCATACGCTTTGTACACACGGCGGGCAAAAATATACGGCCAGCCCCGCCAGCCCTCCTTGACAACAAAGAAACGTTGCTGGGGCTTATTTCGGGGGCAACACCACAACACACCCCGATTGCCATTATTCGCAAAAGTGACGCCACCGCCGCAGCAACAATAAACACACTCACATGAATGGTCGACACCCGTTGACGGCACCGATGCGGCGGAAAGGGTCACGGGATCGCCACCCGATGTCTCGGCGATGCTTTTTCTTGCCATTGGGTTCGTTACGAACTTTGGTGCTTGTCCCTTAGCCCACCAATTGGCAACCGGCCACGGTGGCGTAGAGGCTTATTATCTCTCTATCACCCTATTTGCCCGAGAAACCGGGATAGTCCCCACTTTCAACAGCAAACGTAACCCAGCAGGCGGGTGTCGGGGCGTCGGGTGGGTCTCCGCTGGCGGCGGGTTCGCCTGGTGGGCGGCGATTCAGTGACATCATCGAACGTGACGATGACGACAACAACCCCAAATTGACTACATGGCGGCATGATTGACAAGCTATAGCCCCAGTGGGGGCGCCGTCGACAGCCTCGGATTGCCAGCAATCTCATCGGAAGATGCCAGATTAGCCGTTCAGTCTCGCAGGCTGTTTGTCAACCAAATGCTACACCACGGACAGTCGGTGTTGACTGAGCGAATAATGTCGGCGGCAGGCGATAGTGGTGGATCTAGCCAAATGCCTTCGCCCCTATTGTGGTGGGATATAAGCCCCCGCTCCTAAAGATAGGATGCATGAGGGTGTGCCACTATGCACTCCCGGCCAAGCCCCATTAGGGTACACCCGAAACCGCCAGCCTCCCCGGAACAAATATATATAAAGGCCCCCAGCGCCGTCGACATTTTCCTTCATCACATCCCATCAAATTATGAAGTTCATCACCTCCGTTGCCGCCCTTGTTGCCGTTGCTGTCGCCGCTGACTCGTCGTCGGCCTCCGGTGGCGCCGTGTCGTCGGTCGCCTCCAAGGCGTCGTCGGCCGTCTCGTCGGGTGCTTCTAAGGCCTCGTCCGGCGCCTCGTCGGCCACCTCGTCGGCCTCGTCGTCGTCGAAGAAGAACGACGCCGCCGCTAACGGTGCCGCCGCTGGTTTGGTCGGTCTCGCCGGTCTCTTGTTGCTTTAAGCGTGATGTTAGAGTTTGTGTTTAGCGTACGATTATAAAATGTATCATTAACTGACAAATTCGTTGTAGAAAGCGCCGGCATTATTGGTACTATTGGTCTAGCTAGTGCTGTTATTGTGGCGTCGCCGCGGGGAGTGCGCGCCCCTGAGTCACTCTTCCACTGTGGGAAATCGAGGACACTGTGGATAATGCACAAACGACGCGCTTATTCAGCGCTCGGCGCTCGTTACCAGGAAGTAGATAGGGGGAGAATGCCCTCAACATGGCTTTGACATGGCTTAGCACCCCGACGGGCCGCGCCCGTTCAGCGATGAGCAGCGATCCCCGACACCGATACACTAAACGGTCTTCGATTTTGTATGTCTAGTTTGACAGTTCCATGCGTCGTTATCTTCTTGGCACTATAGTGCCTCGATGGGCATTATCGCTGTAGCCCGTCGGTTTGTGACATTTGCCCCAATCGGGGTTGGTATATGAATTTTTTTCTTCACCCAAGTGCTTTTACTCTCTGCTTCGCCCCCGTCGCGAGGTCATCAAAGAAGCACTATTCCCGCACCGGAGGGGGGGCGTATATCCCTCAGCGTTTGCACCAGGTCGGAGGGACTTTGTAGCCACGGTGCGGTGGCTAGTTAGTGAGCGTGTTTCCCGATTTGGCGCCAAGGGCCCGCTAAACGGGAGCCGACGTAATTATTGATCATTACCCGCCGCTCAAGTTTTCTTGGCTCTGTACGATTGACAGTTACCTACCTGGGGACAATGCGTACCACACTGCACACAAGTGCGCGCACCGGCTGCCTCCACCCCCTGGCACACGTGCCCCGCGACCCCGACCCGGGCAAACCACGTGTGGGGGGCCATGTGGGCTTTTTGTCCGGAACCACAAATTGCCCGTTAGGGACGAGGCGGTAATTATAAATATCGCCAACCGCTCCCACCAGCGAATTTGCCCACTTTTGTGCTCGTCAACCACCCACGAAGCGAAGCCTTTACCAAACCCTTTCCCTCAACACTTCCATTAAACATGGCGCCCACATCTCACGTCGAGTTGTTGATCACTCATCTCGCCGACCTGTCGTACGTGAAGTGTACCCCCGACGGCAACGGCGGCACCGTGTGTGCCAAGCACGAGCTGCCGCTGCCGGTGGAGCTGTCGAGCTGGTCTCCGTTGGTCCACCACTGCTTGTTCGCCTTGGCGATGCTTCTGTTGGTGGTGGTCTACGGCGGCTACGTGTGCCGCAGCCACCGCCGCCGTAAAGCTGCTGCCGCGGCTGCTGCGGCTGCTGCCGATGCCGCCGACGAAAAGACTGCCGCTGCTGCTACCGCTTAAAGGGCAGGCCCTTTTCCTTCTCACCCGTAGTAATCACATATATCCTCGGTAGCCTGTGGACCAGGTGGGCCGAGACGAATCACAAAAACACGGTTTATAGACTAATACCATACATTCATCATAGTGCGTTCTCAAATTGCAGAATTCCGTAAAGAGGCGCAAACGCGCGAGCACGGGACCCCCGTGGGCTCAAAGCAGGCATGTGCTCGATCGAGACAAGAAATGCGACCATCAGGAAGAGGGCAGGGCTGAGCAAGAATTTTAGCCATAAGTGCAGGCTCTAAGCTTGCCCTCGACGTCGGTGCTTTTGGCCTGTTTCTTCTTACCTTGGCTTAAGGGTAGTCTAATCGAGACTAGTGGTGGAGCCTAGTTGTGAATAAACAGCACCTTTGTGTAGTACACAGTAATTGCTGCTCCGCTGATTTTATTTGAAATAGGCAGAGGAAAAGAGTAGTCTGAAAAAGATCAAGTGGGGCAATAGTTACAGAAGCGTGCCCCTTAGTGTTGCTGTCGGAATACGGTCAAACGGTACGTAACCAAGACAACACCGACACCTAAACAAGTCGTGTGGTTGAGAGAAGCGAAGTCGTTTTGACGCAGAGAACACCATTGAGAATTTTGCTGGTATCTAATGGTTTATTGGGGTTGCCGAGGCAACGTATAAGTACAATTGTTCCGCTATTGTCAGCGGCTAAATGCTATCCTTCAACATCTCGAGGGTTTCGTCCAAGTCGTCGTTCATCTTCTTGGTGAACTTCTTGGTGGTGCTGCGTTTGAGGTCCTCGGACTGGTCGGAGGGCGCCGGGCTCGCCTCCGACTCCGACTCGTCCTTCACGTGCTTGTTCCGTTGTCTTTGCTGGCGGCGCAGCGGGCCCAGCTCCGTCAGCTCCACCTTTTTGATGAGGTCCGACACCTTCAGCTTCGTCCCCAAGTTGACCTTGACGGTTTTCGGGGCTGCCGGCGCCGGCGGCGATGCTGACTCCAGCACGATCCGCAGTGCCCTCTCGCGACGCTTTAAAAGCTTTTGCTCTAATTCGCTCGCATCAGACTCCGCTTTCAGCAGCTGCTTTTGTGGGGGCTGACCATTGGTCTTCTTCTTAGGAGGCATCATCTCGAACTGATCAATATCCAGCAGCCCTACGGTTGCAACCTCTGCTTCTTTTGTCGATTTTGCGTTCAAAGGAGGTACGGGTTCTTCTTCGTCAAGCGAGTGAAATTCATCATTGTCGTCATGATCAAGCTTAGAAGGTTCAGGTTGGGAAGCTGCAACGGGTTTAGGAGTAGGCTTGGCGGCTTGTTTGGCAACGGGCTTAGCGTCTGGAGTCGCATTGGTCTTCACTTCGGGCTTGGAAGGGGTCTTCTCAGTCTCAGAATTGACCTCAGGCTTAGGTTCAGGCTTAGCATCGGGCTTGGCTTGAGGCTTGGCTTGAGGCTTGGCTTGAGGCTTGGCTTCCGGCTTGGCCTCAGGCTTGGCCTCAGGCTTGGCCTCGGGTTGCTTAGTAGGAGGTTTGATGGGGGAGACATGCTTAGGTTCGACAACGGTCTTGGGACTGACGACAGCGTCAACCGCTTGTGGCGGCTGGATGCGGATTTCAGGTGATTTAGGACGAGTAGTCTTATCGGCCGTCGTTGTGGGCTGCTTCGCCTGCACTGGAATTTCCTCCTTGGCAGGTTGCTTCGTCTGTAAAGGTTGTTCCTCTTTTTCCGGCAGCTTCTTCTTCAGTTTCTTCGTCTTCTTATCGGCGATAACTTCCGCCGCAGGATCGAGCAGTCTGTGCTCAGTCACAGGTGCCGCCGGTTCGACAGCGGCTTCAGTAGGTTGCTTTCCCTGAGTCTTCTTCTCCTTAAAATCGCCTAACAGTTTGGCAGTGATGAACCCGGCATCGGGTTCCTCTTCCACTCCGGCGAGTTGAGGGGTCTTCTTCATCGTCAACGATTCCTCTGAGGCAGTAGGGATGCTGCCAGTAGCATTAGGGGTGATATGGTCAGCAGTAGCTTCAGTGGCAATGGCTGACAGCGAGCGGTTAATCTCCAGCGGCCGGCGAAACAGCTGGCTCAGACGGTTGCTGGAGGGCTCGTTACCATCAGCGGGGACCCAGTCCTGAGGGAACTGAGCGAACCGTTCAAACTCTTCCAAGGGGATGCCTTCGATATTGGACTCGGTGAGTTCTTCGGGGATGTCCCACACCCCGACCTTCAGCCAGAAGATCTTGTTGCGCACGTATAACAACACCAAGTACATCTTAAGCAACTTGGCTTCTTCGTGGGGGTCTAAATGTATCCGTTTCAGGTTCAGGTTCACCAACACCTTGGAGTTGGAGTTGGAGGTGAGCTGGTCGAGGGTGTCGCCCAGTTTGTTGCGGTTGAAGTTGAAGTTGGCGGCGGCGTTGACGAAAGCGAACTCGTCAAAGGCAGCGTTAGGTGCCAACTTGAGGTTGGACCGGATGAAGCGCAACTTGGCAAAGAAGTCGCAGATGTTGCGGAGTTTATAGGTACAGTAGTTGCAAATGGGGTAGGAGGTGACGACATCGTCGTCGCTTTCCCCTAACAACTTGAAGTAGTAAAGACGGGCGTGTTCCAACATGTCGTCGCGGCGCTCGCCACAGAACAGACAGGCGTCCTTGATGGCCACCGGCGCCAAGTCGGCGGTGGGAGTGTTACCGCGGTAGCTCAACTTGAAGTTTTCGTTGATCCCCTTAACTGGTTCGATCTTGGCGCGACCATCGCACACCGTACTCCAGAAGTTCTTCGTTCTCGTCCAGTTCTTGATGATCAGGGTTTGTTGAGGCACCAGCGAGATTGCCGTTTCCAATTCTTCGTTCCAGATCTTCTTGAAGAAGCGGAGGGTCTTAAGGTTGGACAACTCGTAGGCGAAGTCGGGGCGGATAATGGTATAGACAAACCCCTTGAACTCGTGGTTGTAGTTGTTCAAATCGACTCTGACCGCCCGTACCAGCGGCAGAAACAAAAGCTCGCTAAGCGCCGAGTGGTCGTCAGAAAACTCTTCGTCCAACGCTAGTTGTTCCGGCAGCACAAACTCTCCCAGCACGCTTCTTACCAGTCGTACCAGCCCCATCCGCTGAAGGGAGTTGGCCCTAGTAAGACTGGTGCGCTTCTTTTCGTCTTCTAACTTATAAAGCATCAGTTTCACTTCCTTTAAGTTCTCCTGAAGCGACAAGATGATGGTATCTTTCTCCTCAAGCTCTTCGATCAACTTGCGGTTTTTCACCTTAAAGTTATACGCCTCTCTCAGCGCGTTCAGTACCATTTCGTTGGCCTCATTGAACAAAGACGCCGTCAAGTCTTCCACTTCCGCCTTAAGCTTAGCGTTCTCCTTTTCCGCCACCGCCTTAGCTTCTCGCGTCACCCTGACGTCGTCGAGAGCCCGGTTATATTTGGGAAGCAACTTGCGGTAGTTTTCGTCCAGCTTGCGGAGGGGCGCCGTCGCCAGGCGGAGCTGGTCGAGCTCGCGTTGCAAGTTGTGCATGGTGTCGGCCATTTCCAGCTGTTTCTGCACCGCCTCCACCAACTTGGTGGACAACAGTGTCACCTCCTCCGTTAACTGGTCTTCGAGCAGGGCCATGAGGGGGGTGGTTGTCGACGGGAAGGAGGCAGGGTGATCTGGTCAATAACAACACGCGCTTGATAAAAGTGCGACACGTGACACTACCAATAGGAGGCTGCCTCCAGCTGATACCAACAAGAGCCAAAAAACAATGGAGATTTCTGCGTAGTATAAACTAATTCGATTTGTCAGTGGTTTGTCGTTGATTCAGAGACATTTCGGTTCAATTCTGTGAGCATTTTTCTTTCAATATTCTCACCTTACCTGCTGTCTCGTCAGGTTTCCCGTTGAACGCGAGAGAGCCAGGCACTGTATATACAGCAGTGATATACAGCAGTGACGTAGACAGCGAGGCTAGCAGCCACCGCGAATCAGACTAGCAATGACGCCATCCCACATTAGCCACCAAATGACACCTGACTGTCATTTTGAGACGTTCTAGCAACAACAAGTAAGCACTAAGACACTTCCTACCTGTGCCCTCTCGTTTACCCTGACTACTGGTTCATATCAAGCACTCATAGATCCCTTCTCTGTGGGGGACAGGGTTCGTGGCAATACCCCACCGCAAACGGAGCGCCACACCCTCACCCAATACCATAGCCACCACGTATACTCCCAGCGTTTACCACACTGGGTTTTATATTCAGTTTACCGTGTGTTTGGTAACTGTCCCCGTTGATCGCCATTCTCTGGGCATATACTCCGAGATCGCATAATCCGGAGGAGTTCCACAAAATCTCTCGGCGTCTGTCTGCTCCGAGCTCGGGCCTCTCCGGCGAGGCACTCTGCCCAAAACTCTACGTATACGTCTCTGGGGCGACCAAAACGAACTATAGCTGGCTTGTGTAAGGGATGCTGATGCTTGTGATGCTGCTAAGTCCGCTGGAAAGCCCCGATAAGCGGTGGAAACTGGCACCCCCCACATCGTCTCCGAAAGTTGCCAGCGGCCTTCTAGCGCTCCCCCAGGAAGTGTTGGTGGCAATAGCAGGCTTGTTAAACCAGTACGATGCCCTCCTGCTTGGTCGGACGTGTCGCCGGCTTCTGAAAGTGGCTAAACTTCGCATTTGCCATGACGTGGTGGTGGACCCGGAATACCTGATGTTTGATAATGCTGACGAGCTAGGGATCCACCATACGTTTATTAATAGTGGTTATTCGCTTGAGAAGTTCTTCCACAGCGATTCGGCTCGGTTAGTACGCCATTTGAAAGTGACTTTACCCCCTGACTTTAACGTATGGGCGAACCACGACGATATGGTCAACTTTTTCAGCATTACCAAGCTCTCTTCGATCGAGTGGCTAGGTGAAGGGTGGCTGAGCCATTTTTCCAGGGGGTTATCGGATACCGCTCAACTAAAGGTGCTGTGTAAGGAGCTCTTTCCACCACCAATGATACCCACAACGCTCAAATGGCAATCGTTTCAGCTGACATCGAATCTCCGCAAACACTTGGCCCATATAAATTTAGCCTATTGTCGTGATCTCTGGTTGTGTCGCCAAAATACATTGGATTGCGGTACACTATTTCCTAATGTCGATGACCTTATGGTGACGCTGACAGCACACCATATCGTGTCTAAATGGTACGATATCCAGCTCGATACCATTGCCAGTCTCCCTCCTTTACCTCGGCTTACCAGTTTATCGCTAGAGGACGTGGTGGTGGTGGCGAGTGATGCTCACTTACTAGCATCTACATTACCTCATTTGACCCGATTACGGCTACTAGCGGTACTGGAGTGTCGTCTTCGAGAAGGGGAGGCTGGTAACGTGCTGTTCCTTACCTTAATTGCCCCCTATCTCGGTAACTTAAAGCAATTAGCCCTTGACTACCGCCAGCCAGTTATTGACTCCGTACCGGAATTTCTTCGCCAAATGACCCAATTACAAGCGTTGGACCTCACCATCCGCACCAATAACACCAAAACAACTCAGTTTGACCACTACGCGCTACCATGTACCCTTACCAAATTGGCAATCGAGGTCAAACAAGAAGTGAGTGCCCCCGACGCCACCAGCGTCCAGGTGACGGTGGCCATGCCCTCACCGTTGATCAAAATGATCGAGAAATTGACCCAGCTTGAATCGTTACGGGGCAATTTTACGCCCAATTTGGCGAAATTCACTAAGCTACAGGTGTTGGATGTATTTGGCACTCCCACTCCTGGGCTCGCCATGTTTGATGCCTTGCTCCAGCTCCACCACCGAGTGCTGGGGTACTTTAGCGACCAGCCCAGCTTAGTGTACGTGCGGGTGAACACGGAGGTATTCTTCCGCAGCCGGCCACGCCACGGGCTTAATCGCTGGCTAGACTCGCAAGTTAGAGTATAGGTGGAGAGCTCTTGGCGAGCAGGGGGAGGAGGGGAAGCCGGGGCGGGGTTTATTTGCAGCACGGGCCTTTTGCGGCACCGCAGTTTGCGGCACTGCTGGAAGTCATTTCCCGATCTTGGCGTTTTGAGCGGTCTGTTTTGGTCGTTAAGCGTGCCACCACTGCCACGCGCGGCGCTGGAAGTCTCGGAGTCGCCCACTCCGAAGGCAACCCTATCCATAGCGCGGCAACTGCAACCAGATCTTTAGGGTGATTGTTGGGAGATAGAATTGGGAGAGAGAGAGAGGGGACGGTGAGGGGACGAAACACGTCATCGCAAATTTGATAGGTAAAACACAGCAAGTACATCTACCGTTTCCGATAACAGCAATGAAACAGGTGGTGCCGCAGTGACAGCACCAAAACAAACTCAATTGATATCACGAGCTAGTAGTCCGAGCGCACTCCGATCGGGGTCCGATCGCTTGTTTGTCGTAGGTGGATGACACGAAGCCGCTAACGGCTAGCGGGACGCGCGTAGTTTCCGCCTGGCCGAGGTTCGGAGTCGGAGACTCCGACGAATATTGTACGAGCGAACGCCAGCGCCCCTGAATTTCTTTTTTTTTCTGCTTGCCCGCCCTTCGCTGAGTTAATTTCTTTTTTCTTGCATTATGTGCAGGCAAATTGCCAACACACACGAGGCATAGCCGCGAATAGCGGGCGCGCAAATGAGAAAGGTGGGCGATCATGGGAAAAAACAACGCGTGGCAATTTCCTAAAAGAGGGGTTGGCAGGCGGAGGTGAGGGATTTAAAACTAGGGCCTTAGTGGGGGGCTGGGCAATAGATAGTATCTAGTTTCAGGTTTACTACGTAAACTGCCTGTTTGCCATTGGCAGACGCCACCGAATAAATTAGCGGATAAATTAACGCTGTGACTCCTGACGACTTCCGTTGAACCGAAATGTACTTGCTGACAGGGTATATCTAGAAAAAAAATTGTATGCAGTCGCCACACCGCCACCACCGAGATTAGCAACTCCGCGCGGGCTCACAACCAGGTACATCCCCCCAATAGAAACCCCGCCCCTCTTTAGCGCCGTTAGTGTGTGTCGTCGCGCCGCCGCCACTACCCCTCTTTTCCTGCCCACCAGCGCAACAACGTGCTCATTCGCCGGAGGCCACTTCTCCGAGGCACCAGTAGCGCCTGTTTCTATAGCGATCAGGTGGTGGTTGTTTCAGAGTGAGTCGCTTGTCATGCCCTATCTCAGACGCTGTCAAAACGGCTTCCGTCTGCCCGAAGGCGCTGAGGGTAATTCCGATCGCTCGGGTGACGGGAACTTTCTTTTTTTCCATAGAGAAGGATCTGCGGCACGGCCGTGCATAACGATGAGTCAAAGAAAAATATCGCTTAGAAAAGTATATAAGCACCACCTGGGTCGCCCTGTTTTCAAACTCATCATCAAACAACAACAACCACCACTTGAAACAATGTCTGCTACCACCATGCCTGCCACCACCCAAATCAAGCTCACCGGTGCCGCTAAGGAAGCCGCCATCATGCAAGAAATCAGAGCTCTGCAAAAGCCCACCGCTCCCGCCGTCGCCCTGTTCAACTTCTTGGGTTCGTTCTTCAACGTTGGTTTCAAGAACTAAGCCGACGGACAAAAACAAATGAATATCTACCGTTTTTGGCTCAGTCTGGCACTGCATCAACCAATCTCGATTACCAACGTTTTTTTACTCAAGGGATTTAATAACTACATTTGGATTTTTATAGAACCACAATCTTAATACATCATACACTAATTGAAACATTGTAAGTTTGACATTGACTTTACGAATATTCGAGTATCAGTTATCAATTGAGCTAATGTATCTCATATCTCTTACTGATAATGGGACTGGCTAAAATGAAATTACATTCATGCTCAGCAGAACTGTTTTGATTGTCTCAATATGATTTACTTCTTTAACCTTTCATTTGAGGGCAATTCTTTAGTAGAAGTCTTCGATAAGTATTGCTTTCATACTAATTAATCGTGTCTGACTCGTACTGAAAGGCGTTGTCGTCAGTGCGAACTGCAGCGCTACCATCTCTCGACCGAGTCCGACCCCGGCGCCGGTGGCCGCAACCGGAGTTGTCGTGCGGGAACGCAATCCATGCAAAGGGCTGAGTGCAAATCCGTTGTCCCGAAGCTGCTAGCGGCTGCATTGCCCCGGACCATCCCGACTTCTTCCTCAGATGCGGTATCGTCCGGAAAGCATACACCCATCGGAACCAGCCACGCATTTCGATCGAAGCCCGATAAAGTGATAAGATAGTCGGTGGTCTGGCAGCCAGGTGAGTCAGGTCGCGTGTTATTTAGTTTGAATGGAAAGTAATCGTATTGAATGGATTGGTAGCTATGAAACGTGTTTCAGCCAATACCGGGTGGTAGAACCATTTCTGCTAGATCCAATCAACGACGACAAGAACTAGTGGTGCTCGTATGTTAACAGAGGTATGTGAGACGATTGTCGCCGCTCTTGGTATGGTGAAACATCAAACTACACCTTTTGTTATTCAGTATTGTTGAAACTAGTTGTTATTAGCCAGTTTCTAGTTATCCATTAACTATAAACTCAAAAATAGTGTCTGTCAAGCTTGAAATGAGATATTTCGCGGTCACACCACGAACAACCAGGATGAGCTGGTCGTCGTCGTGCGTCAAAAAAGCGTCTCCACCGGCAGTACGGGGCTTTACTTCTCAATTTTGGACCGAGCCACCGTGGCAGCCACTAGTCGCCGAACCTCCACTATGGGATGGTCGGGTGAAAAAGACTGAAGAGCCGGGACCTTCGATGGCGCCTTTGTGATCGTACCGTTGACAGCAGAATATCTCGTCTACGGCCCAAAGGAGGCAGAGATAAACCGTGTCACCAGCAGAACCTTATCTCATCTCAAGCCGACATGAAACACCATGGCCGGGGCCGACCAGGTAGTTAGTGGTACAGAAATATTCTGGTTGTGCGCAGTGGTGGGGGTTTATATACTTGTGTGTGGCCTGTATAGTGTGGGCTGTGCGGGGGCTAAAATTACGAGACGACGAGGCGGAGGGGAGAGTCTATGAAATGTATCGATCGTGTGACCTCATGCCATTAACGACGTGAGTTGTTGAACGTCCATGGATCAAAAATCAGGGGGGGAGGCTTAACTATCTTGTGTCTCTATTCAAAGAATGAGAAAAAAAGGAAATAGCGGTGACTGGTTTCGATCCAGTGACCTTTGGGTTATGAGCCCAACGCGCTTCCACTGCGCCACACCGCTGACGATGAACACTACCATTTAGACGGGCCTTGGTTTGGGGCCCTGGGAACCATCACCCGTCGTCGTCGTCGACTGCCAGTACCTCGTAGCGTTCGTCGCCGACCCTACCAACCGACAATACACCTGAAACGGGCACCACCAATTTCATTGACGTTGGCCCCATCCATGTCTCCCTACTCCCATCCCTGACGCAACCTGAAACAATGGCCCGCGGTGGGTGTGTGAATGTCGGTGGGGTGGGTGTGTCAAACCTGCGGCTGGTGCCCGCCTTTGGCCTGGGGGGTGTGTCACTCCGATATTGTCTCATCCGATCCCTCCCCAAATATGACAATAGCGCAAACAATAGTATTAGCATTATTATCGGGCGCCCGCGGCTTTGTTTGACGAGCGCCACCCTGTGACTAAGCGGAGTCCCACCCCAGCGCCATCGAGACAATTGCTCATTCAGCGCCGTTTCACCGTACTTTTATTGAGATTGTTTCAGAGGTTTGACTCCATCTAACTCTCGATAAAGCTGTGTATAGGGCTAATGACGATTAGGTTTCGGTTTGAGCTATTATCATTGAACCCTCTGGCTTGGAATGCTCCGTTTCTCCGGTCGTGATTTGCGGCAGATCTTGTCGTCAGCGCGGCGCAGGCGCCGACATCGATAATATTTCTCGAATGGGGGGTCATCCCGTGAAACCCATATACACACCCCGTCGACATGAGCCTTTTCCCTCTTTGCGACCAACCGCCGATGGACGGTGCTAATAGTCCATTTAATGGGCTGAAATTGGCGCCAGACACTACCGTTAAACGGTGGGAGAAGCACCGCTTATCGGGGGGAATACCGTTTGGCTCGTGTCTAGTTGCCGTGCGTGTAGGCGCCGTCTTCCTGCCACGCTGGGGTGGGGCACATGGCGCGCGCCGCCAATCCGGCATAAGTCCTCCCCTTGCGTCGTAAACGGCAGCGCACGATACTGCGCTATCGTCGTCGCTCGCCCGCCGCCGCCGCCGTCGTCAGCGGCCGATATATCTATATAAACGGGGTGTGCCCCTCCCCCCTTCCACCAGGTTGTTTAAACCCTTAGTTCGTTTGTTTTC